CTCCTGCTGTTTTAATCCTAAGCATTTCAGCGTGTGTCTCTGGAACGTGGGCTCCTCCTCCTCTTTTGGCCATGATTTCATTGTCACACCGGAGAATCCAGTGATTCCCTTAATATCAAAAATACCAGTCAGTGTTCACCTTTTTGTGCGTATTTTCTTAATCACAAGAGTTAATTATGTTAGCTGCAGGGTTTTGCGGTTGGGACTAGTGTCCTCAGCACTTTGTGCTGCTGTTTCTGTGGGAACATGCATCCAGCCATCAGCATTTGGCCCGGGGGGCTGTGGGCGCCGAAGCATTTGGGAGCCGGTGCTTGTTCCATTGTTGGTGTGTGTGAACTCATAATCTTAGCAGGATGCCATGAATAAATAACTCACTCGCACGTCCGCGCTACTGGGCCTCTCTCCCTCCCCGGCCTTCTCGTTCCTCAGGAGCTGTGCGCCCCTAGCTCCAAGCGGCTATTGAGCACTTAAACATCCCAGTTGAGATGTGCCGAATAAATGTAATATGTGCTGGAGTGCAAAGATTTAGTGTGCGGGGGAAAAAATAAACTATCTCACTAATAGTTTTTATGCGGATGACATCTTGAAATGATAATGAGGATATATTAGGATAATTAAATATTAATATTAATTTCATATTCTTTTTTAAATTGGGATTTCTTTTTTTAAATGACATGAAATTCACTATTTTAACTGTTAACAGTGTGTCATACAACTCAGTGGTTTTGGATGTGTTCACAGGGTTACGCAACTGTCACCACTACCTGATTCCAGGACCCCTGATTTTCATCACCCCAGAAAGACACATGTGCTTACTAGGCAGTTACTTCCCATCTCCCCTCCCTCCAGCCCCTGGCCACCGCTAATGTGCTTCCTGTCTCCGTAGACTTGCCTATTCTGGACAGAGCATGTCAGGGGAGTCATAAATACGTGGCCTTTTGTGTCTGGCTTCTTTCACTTAGTATAGTGGCGTCACGGCTCGTCCACATTGCAGCACGCGTCAGCACTTCATTCCTTACAGTGGCTGCGTGACGTTCCTTTGTGTGGATGGCCATATTTTGTTTGTTTATCGGTTGGTGGACATTTGGGTTGTTTCCACTTTTTGGCTGTTATGAACAATTCTGCGAACATTTGTGGACAGGTTTTTGTGTGGAGATACGTTTTTGTTTCTCTTGGTTTTATACCTAGGAGCGGGGTCACTGGGTCACGTGGTAACTTGAAGGACTGACAGACTTTTTCATAGGGGCTGCACCATTTTACGTGCTCGTAAGCTGTGTGTGAGGGTTCCAGTTTCTCTGTGTCTTTGTCAACACTTGTTACTTTCCTTTTTTTTAGATTATAGTCATACTGATGGGTGTGAAGTGGCATCTTCTCATTTTGATTTGCATTTCTCTAGCAACTGATGATGTCGAGCATATTTCATGTACTTATTTACCGTTTATGTGTCTTCATTGGAGAAATGTCTGTTTAAATCCCTTGCCCAACCTGTTTATTTTTACTTAATTGAATGTGGCTATGAGAAAATTTTAAATGTCCATATGTGACTGATATATTTCTATTGGATAAGACAATTTTGAAATTGGGAAGGAGTAAAAAGAAGACTTCACACTCTTCCCTTCACTCTTACACTAAGATTAACTTCTGCATTTTGAGGTTCATCTCCCTGAGGCATTAACAGGAATTTCAGTACAAAGAAGTTATCAAGGCACCTTACTTGCAGTGGCCTGACAAGGATTAAATAGGGTGAGGATCTCTTTAAGTAAGTCTGAAAGTTAAGGTGGACCCATATCCTCAAAGCAGGTGGATTATTTTAATGAGCCAAACAAACACTGAAGTAAAAGCTGCCTTCAGCTTCTTATGATATGATCAGCATTCTGCTTCCAAGTGAGCTTTTCAAATATTAGTATTTTAAGAATTAGTCATTATATCTTATTGAGCTTTTGAAATATGTTAGTTTATTATAGATTTGTTGCTTTGAAAATTTATTATGAAACGTTGAGCTTATTTTTCTAGAAATCTAAGAAATATTTTCGTTTTTTTCTTAACTTTTTTATTCTTATTTTATTATAATTAAATTTTTTTTCTAATTCCTTCTTTCACGACTATACTTACTGAGGACTAATGCAGAAATGGTTTGATCAAGTATACTTATTTCTCATAATACAGTGGTTATAATATATTTATACATGGGTGATTCACACTAACGCCTTTGAGTTTATTTTGCAGTTAAATTCTGGTGGCACTTACTGCTTTCTCGTTTACGGCTGAGTGTTCCCTGAGATAGTTCACAAGCCTCAGGAAGTGCAGCTCCGCCCCAGAGGAAACAAGCTGGTTTTTCCCATCTGTTGGTTGTTTTGAGTAGAATATATAATTCATTTGAATGCAGGGTTTTTTCTTACTTATAATATATTGAACCCAGAAAGAGGCTGGGAAGCATGTTCATAGTTTTCCTGAAAATGAGTCAGCAAGAAATTTTCTATAAATGTAAAGCTGTATATAAAAGATCTTGATGATATTTTATGATGCTTTTTCATTTTAAGTGGAGGCTGTATTTTTCCATGCATAAATAAGTAGGTGGGGGAAGATTAAGGAAATTATATTTTCCTTGGGAGAGTAAAGTCACATGGAGACAAATATTTCGGGACCCTCAGCTGCAAACTCTAATATGGACTTTTTGAGGAGGGGCTAAGGGGAATGGGTGGAAAAGAAACAAGTCAAATTGCCATAATTTTTATAGAAATGATTTACCAAAGGAGAAATTGGCTTTGAGGATAATCAGCATGTATTTATTTAAGTGTTCCCTTTTTTTTTCTGTTTTAGCACTGGTGTTGAGAGGGAAGGTGGTTTCAACATCTGGGTACAGTAGAAATTTAAGTGTATAGTTCAGTGATGTGAAGTATATTCACATTGTTAAGCAACAGAGCTCTAGAACTTTTTCATCTTGCAGCACTGAGACTTTCTACCCACTAAATGCCAATTCCCTCTCCCCCTCCCACAGCCCTGGGCAACCTCTTTCTATTTTCTGTTTCTGTGATTTTGATTACTTGAGGTACTTCACATGAGTGGAGTCATATACAGTATTTGTTTTTTAGTGACTGGCTTATTTTTTTCACTTAGCACAATGTCTTGGAGGTTAATCCATGTTGTAGTGTGTCAGAATCTCCTTTTTGAAGGCTGAATAATATTCCAATGTATGTGTATACCAGATTTTGCTTGTCTGTTTCTCCATCTATGGCCACTTGGGTTGCTTTTCCTTCTTGGCTGTCGTGAATAATGCTGTGGGGAACATTGAGGTGCAGATGTCTCTTGGGGATCCTGCTTTGAATTATTTTGGGTTTAAACCCAAAAGTGGGATTACATTTTCATATGGTAATCCTTTATTTTTTAAATTGGATGTTTGTAAGCTTTTTCCAAGAGTAGTGGGAGCTGGGAGCTGTGTAAATCTGATTCCACTGTGCAGGTCCCCCTTTCACTTCCTGTTTGCTACCTGTACCCCTGCCCTTGTAGAATATTTATAAATACTCCTCTGGATAATCTCTCCCTGAGAGATGAATTTTACGCATACTATCACTGTGACCTCTTATCGGTTGCCCCAGGACGTGTTCTGTATCCTCAGATCTCCCAAAACGAACACCAGGTTTGTGTGGGTAGTTGTCATCTCTTGGCACGCATCCCTGTGTTTGTAACACCTTACCCCGGAGAGCCGTTGCTTCCGCTCAGCCCCCTTTCTGTCCAGGCCTAAGAAAGAGTGAAGGCTGCACAGAAAGGCGCCAGAGGGAGCAGGGGGCAGAGGAGGAGGGGATAGTGTGGTTCTCATCATGTACCACTGGCCAGAAATGTATCTCCACGTCATGGCAGCACATCAAGGAGTGGAGTGTTTGCACACTGTGTTGATGGTGGCAGTAAGAAGTTTCACAGTGTGGCCCAGCACACATGTGCTGTGTGTGTTTGTGCACTAAACACTTCACCTGTGTGATGTACTCCAATGTCTTGTATTCTGTTCCCTTCTATTTTTAGGTTTTTGCTTGTTTTTGGCATTGGGTGCAGTCCCTTAAATTGGTGTCCTGCTCATGTTCGTAGCAATTCGGCAAGCAGTGCAAAGAACTTGCTGTCTGGAGCACGCCTGTCGGAGCTGGAGTTTGGCTTTTCCTATTAGTAGAGAAGTGACCTTGAGCAACTTAAGCAGTCTGTGCCTCGCTGTCCTGTCCCCTAAGATGGGGTGATAGACTCCTCCTTGCACCCTGTTGGGAAGAGAGAATGAGCAATTAGAGGGGAAGTGCTTAGCAGAGCTCCTGCATAGGGAGGTTGCCCAGTGCACACGGGCCACTCACTGCACCCCAATGACGCTTGCTCGTCCTGCTTTTCCCTTCTTTTTATTATTATTTTAAGTCTTGGCTGGCTTCTGCTCTCCTCTGCTGTTGACTTTCCCAGCTTGGTGTAACTGACTGTGTGCGAAACCTCGTCCCTAAGCTCACAGACCGTGGACAGAAGCACAGCCAGAAGGTCAAATGCATCAAGTGGCCTCGTTAGCAGAGGCTTCTTGGTGTATTCCTTTTCCTTTGTTGTTTTAGCCTGCCTGGTACTTGGAGTTCAGCCTCTGATTGAGGAGGTGTGTGCGCAGCGGGGTTGCCGAGCCAGCCCTGCAGGCGCCTGTGCGTGTGCTGCTGTCCCTGCCGGGCGAAGAAGCCAGGCCTGCTGGGGCCTTTCACGGAGGAGGGAGGAGCCGTGGCGTCCTTGGCCCGGGACAGAGGCGGGGATGCGTTTTCTCCTTCCTCAGGGTACAGGCTGGTGGTCAGAAAGCAAGTCTCTAAGCAAGTGTGTTCCTTTTCTGCTGAGGACATGGGATAGTCCAGCGGGACAGCTGCCTGCCCGCTCCTGCCCTGACGGCTGCCTTGGGTTGGGGGAAGGCCTGTTCCTTTCCCTCGTTTCCAACACATCTGTCTTGGTAAGGCCACACTGTTAGGTTGCCGGAGTTTATTTTGTGTTTATCTTCCTTACAGGCGGTTCTGGTGAATAACATCACCACGGGTGAGAGGCTCATCAGAGTCCTGCAGGGTAAGTGCCCGCCCCGCCTTGACACCAGGCTCCAGCCTGCCAGGAACAATCCGCCGTCTTTCTCGTCCTCCTCTGGGGCTACTGGCGGTTCTCCTACTATAATCTCGGGATGGGCAGTGTTACGAGTAATTGAGCAATCTTTATCCTTTTTGCTTAACTCGATCTCTTCAAAAGGCTTTCCCTTTTAAAAATATTGCTGATTAATACATTGTAAACTCTTATGTGCAGAAGAATCCAGGCTCTCATTTATGAAGGTTAAATATTGTATATGAAATATATGTGATTTGTTTTATATTGCATTCCATATATGTGTGTATATATATGGCTTTTTAATTGAGTCACCCTGAATTTAGATGTTCCTCATGAAACTTAAGAAAACTGTCCAGCCCCATTTAATTCCATTTCTTTGCTACTCTGACTCTGTTTGGCAGCTGGGATTTGTGGGGCAGAAGATGGGGCCATATCCTCCCTGTGGGGGCTCCCCTTCTGTGTGACTGGAGGGTCAGCTCAGCAGGGCCATGTGGCCTGAGAACATGGTGAAAGGAGCACTGGTCCTGGTAGGAGGTTCCTGTGAGCCCCCGGAGCCTGAGTTTCCACCTCTCTAAAATGGGAAGGAGCCATGGTGGCCGATGAGCAGTTGATGTGGCCAGTGGGACAGAAGAACTGAATTTTTAATTTTTGTTAAATTTTCAGTACTTTAAAATTGATACTCAGTTATTTGGAAACTTCAGTATGTTTGGGACAATGTGTGTATATCAGTCTACTTCTTAATTGTAAATTTTATGAAATCTGAATTCCAATCAAGCATCTCTAATGAAAATTTAACAACTGAATTGAAATGTGTTATAATGGTCAAATATACCCCACATTTCAAAGACTCAGTATGAAAAAAGAATTTAAAATATCTTTGAAGTGAGGTATCATAAGAATGGAAAAACAAGCACCACGTGTACTTCGCCATCAAATTGGTACTAACTGATCAACACGAAGGTGCTCACAGGGTAGTTAATACTCACTGGGTGCCGGTCAGGGGGGAGGGGGTCGTGGGGGTGGGTAAACTCACAGCTAGTGGGTGCGGAGCACACTGTATAGGGGAAGGGCACACTTGTAGCTCTGGCTTGGGTAAGGCAAAGGCATTATATGTAACCAAAATGTTTGTACCCCATAATATTCTTAAATAAAAAAATATAAAAATAGGATTCTGCATAGAAAAAAATTCATAATTTTTACAATCAGTATATATTGACATATTTTGTATCTGTTGGGTTAAATATTATTTATTTTTTTATTTTTTATTTTAGTGTATTATGGGGGTACAAGTGTTAAGGTTACGTATATTGCCCATGCCCCTCCCCCCCCTTGAGTCAGAGCTGCAAGCGTGTCCATCCCCCAAACGTTGCACCTCTTACTCGTTGTGTTTGTATATACCCATCCCCTCCTTCCCCCTCCCACTTGCCCAACACCTGATAAATGTCATTCCTATATGTCCACTGAGGTGATGATCAGTTAATACCAATTAGCTGGTGAGTATATGTGGTGCTTGTTTTTCCATTCTTGAGCTACTTCACTTAGTAGAATGGGTTCTAGCTCTATCCAGGAAAATACAGGCAGTGCTATATCACCATTGTTTCTTAAAGCTGAATAGTACTCCATGGTATACATATACATTTTATTAATCCACTCATGAATTGATGGACACTTGGGTTATTTACATTTTTAAAACGTGGTTACTAAGAAATTAAGAATTCTCTACATGGCTTGAATTATGGTTCTGTTAGATAGCACTAGTTTAGAATTCTAGTTCCAAATAAGGTTCTAAGAATATTAACAGGTCTCAAGAGGTTGCTTTGTCAAATTTGCTTTGGGGAAACAAAGAGATTACCTGACTGCAGGGGGCTTCTCAGTGCTTGTATCTGCTGCTGAGACTGGTCAGTCCCCAGGGAGGAATGTGGCCTGCAGCCTTTCCTATACTCCGTGTTTTCCACAGCTTTAATCATGTATATTTGACACACAGTAAACTATACACAAAGTGTACACTTGATGAACTTTTACATATGCATGCATGTCACATAGCGACCACCAAAGTCACACTGTGTAGTGAACATCTCAGCATCCCTTAAAGCTTGCCTGTGCCGCTTGATATTCTTCCCACCTCACCCTCAGACAGCCTCTGATCTGCTTTCTGTCCTTACAGATTAGTTTCCATTTTTAATAATTGTATATGCGGTCAGATCGTATATACCTTTTTTTGTCTGGCTGCTTTCACTCAGCATAATTTTTTTTCTTTTTCTTTTTTTTTTTTTTAAGACAGAATCTTATTCTGTAGCCCCTGCTGGAGTGCAGTGACATTATCGTAGCTCACTGCAACCTCCAACTCACTGGAGCGCTCCAGTGATCCTGCTTTCTCAGGCTCCCGAGTAGCTGAGACTAGAGCTGTGTACCACTGCACACAGCTAATTTTTAAAAACATTTGATGTAGGCCGGGCGCAGTGGCTCATGCCTGTAATCCTAGCACTCCGGGAGGCCGAGGCAGGCGGATTGCTCGAGGTCAGGTGTTCGAAACCAGCCTGAGTAAGAGCAAGACTCCGTCTCTACTATAAATAGAAAGAAATTAATTGGCCAACTAATATATAGAGGAAAAAAAATTAGCCGGGCATGGTGGCGCATGCCTGTAGTCCCAGCTACTCGGGAGGCTGAGGCAGCAGGATTGCTTGAGCCCAGGAGTTTGAGGTTGCTGTGAGCTAGGCTGACGCCACGGCACTCACTGTAGCCTGGGCAACAAAGTGAGACTCTGTCTCAAAAAAAAACAAAAAAACATTTTATGTATGGGGTCTTGTTTTGTTGCCCAGGCTGGTCTTGAACTCCTGGCCTCAAGTGATCCTCCCACCTCAGCTTCCCAAAGTGTTGGGATTACAGCCATGAGCCACCACGATCATCCTAGCACAATTATTTTGATATTTATTCATGTTGTTATGGATATCAGTAGTTCATTTTTTTTTTTTTTTTTTTGCTGAGTGATATTCCATTGTCTCATACTTAATTGGATTGTAGAATCTTTTAAAGTCAGATTTATTGAAGTCTAATTTATATTACTATAGTGTTACCGTTCGTAGTGTACAGTCGCATAAGTCTGACCAGTACTCAGCCTCACAGACTGCTGAAGTTGGCACACCACACACACTTGTCACCCCAGGGTACCCCACTCCCCAGTGTTCTGTAGTCAGTCTTCCTCCCCACGTGGACCTCAGGCACCCGTGGAGCAGTTCTCTGTCACTGTAGCTTTGTCTTCTAGGGCATGTCATACAGATGCTTTTGAGACTGGTCCATGTTGCTGTGTGTATCAATAGTTCATAGAATCCTTCAGTTTTATTTAATTTTATCTCCAATCCCCCCACATGGAGTCTTGTAGGTCTAGCATGGTGAGGACAGACCTCAGGGCATGCTAACCTCTGTCCCAGCCTGTCTGCCACTGGCTGTGCCCTGGCCCTAGCTGCTGCTGTCTGCCAGCTCTGGTGTCACCTCTGTAGCTGCTGCTCCACCCGCCACAGCTTGGCCCTTTGGAAGCTGCTGCTCCTTCCGGTAGAGCTTCAGCGGGCTGAGTGGTCAGCGCAGTGTGGATGGGCTGATGCATTTCCCCAAACACAGCTGCTCATTCCCAGTAAGAGGGTTGGGTGATTAAATAACTACATGGCCTTGGAGAATAGCGTGGCTGTGAATAAATGACAGAAGGAGCACGCTGGCAGGTAGCCTGACCAAGGGCAGGGGTCCAGCAGGAGTGGCTGCTTATCGGCCCAAACTTTGGAATCAGTGTTTGACAGACAAGAGTCTGCTGGGGCTGAGGGACACAGTGGTATGTGTGACTGTTGGGGACAGCTCAGGGCTTGTGATACCTAAGAGAGAAAGAGGGAAATAGAAACTCCTAATGCAGTTAAAGGGTTGAAGGCCAAAAAGGAGATTTCAAAGAGATATTTAGAAAAAAATCGAGATGCAGATTCCTTTAGGATTGCTGGTCTTCCAAGGCTGGGGTATAGTGATTACTAGGGAAGGGCTGTGTTATTGTTGGCCTTTTCTCTGTCCCCTCCTTAGTCCCTTTGTGTCCCTGCCCTTTTTGTTGTGATGTGTGTGTGTGCCTTTGTCATATTTACTTGTCCTTCTCTTGCTTTAGACCAGTTAAAGACTCTGCAGAGGAATTATGGCAGGCTGCAGCAGGATGTCCTCCAGTTTCAGAAGAACCAGACCAACCTGGAGAGGAAGTTCTCCTACGACCTGTAAGTGTGTCTCAGAGCCAAGTGCATGCCTCTCTCTCGAGAGGCTCGTGAGTTGTGAGGCAAGGGCAGCAGACAGAGAAATAACCTCCACTGGCTCTTCCTGTGATAGAGTGTCCACCGTCTGGTCCACACAAGGCTCTGTGAGAAAGGAACAGTCTAAGATTCATGTCCTTTAGAAATTTTGCATTTTATTTTGTGTCAGCAGTGCTTCAGAAAGCCATGAGTAAGTGTTGGCTAGCAGGCTCATGATACAAAATAAATTAGAAAAGTACACACACACACACACACACGGCAGTTCTCAGCAGGAAATGAATTACTCAGCATACTGTAAAACATAAGGTAACCTAAAACTGTATAAAGCACAGGTGTACTGGTTAAAACAACAGCCTAAAGCAGGCATCCTCAAACTACGGCCCGCGGGCCACATGCGGGTGTTTTTGTCCATTTGTTCTTTTACTTGAAAATAAGATATGTGCAGTGTGCATAGGAATTTGTTCATAGTTTTTTTAAAACTATAGTCCGGCCCTCCAACGGTCTGAGGGACAGTGAACTGGCCCCCTGTTTAAAAAGTTTGAGGACCCCTGGCCTAAAGCCTTTAAAAATGTGTTCCCAGAGTGCTCAGATGTGAGCAAAATCAAACTCATAGACTAAAAGACATTTTGGCAAAATATGAATACAATTTATTGCCGGGTGATGGGATTGTAGGTGTTTTGTTTTCTTGAGACTTTTCAGTGTTTTTCCACATTTCTGCAGTGAGAATGGAGTCCTTTTATAATTAAAGCAAAGCAATAAACTTTTAAAAAGCGAGCTCAACCCATGGGAAGATAGTAAAAAAACAATTTACAAGGTAGAGAATAATGTTGTAGTCTGTGCATTTCCTCCTTTTTTTCTCATAAAAGCAATATAACAATATAATTAAAGCACAGAAGTTTGGGATCAGAGAGCACCGCCCCCACCCATGACCCAACCGTCATGGGACTCTTTTTCCCCTTGTCTGACTTCTCTCCAGGCCGTGCCCAAGTTTATATGAAATTTTTTTAATAGAGTTTCACTCTGTTGCCCAGTACAGTGGTATCATCATAGCTCACTGCAGTTTCGAACTCCAAGGCTCAAATGATCGTCCTGCCTCAGCCTCCCAAGTAGTTGGGACTACAGGTGCACACCACCCACACCTGGCTAATTTTTAAATTTTTTTGTAGAGATGGGACCTTGGTATTGCCCAGGCTGGTCTCAAACTCCTGGCCTCAAGCCTGCCTTGGCTTCCCAAAGTGCTGGGATTATAGGTGTGAACCACCATGCCTGGCTATATGTGAATTTTTTAAAAAATTACAGTCACCATAAAATTTTTAAAATTACTTTTTCACTTGCATTTATATATTTTTTATCGCAAAAAATTTATTTTTCAAAATAAAATAGACATGCAATGATAAAAGGGATTTTAAGGAAAAAAAATATTCATTGTCATAATTTGTCTCCTAAATAATGACAGTAGGTGAACTATAGCCTCTTTTATTTTTAATTTTTAAGTAAACATTTTTTATTTTCATTACATATAAAATCCATATAGCTCCAAAATGTTTTATCTTTTAAAAATTACTGTGGATTATTTCCTTCTAAGAGACACAACAGTAGGTTTATTAGCTTGTCACTAGGTGTAAAGTGCCAAATTGCTTTCTGAAAGGATTTTAGCCATCTGCAAAGCCTGTTGTTCTCAAGGCGTCAGTCTTGCCACCAGGAGACCTTTGGCAGTGTTCGGAGACATTTTTACTTCTCACAACTTGGTGGGAGAGTGCTGCTGGCATCTAGTGGAGAGGCCAGGGATGCTGCTGAACATCCTGCAGCACCCAGGACAGCTCTTCACAGTAAAGCTTTATCTGGCCCAAGACATCTATAGTACCAAGGTTGAGAAACCCTGAGTTAGGCTGATAATCAAGGAATTGCATTTATACAAAAATGAAGCACCCCAGCCTTATTTAATTGTTGGTCCTTAAAAGACCCCTTAATAAGAGTATATCTCTTCCATTGCTTGAATACAAAAAGCTATTAATAGCTTTACCAAATTAACATCGATCCAGAAGATTTTGACCTAGCTGGAAATCAGCCAGGGCCCAGTGACAGGGAAGGAATCTCTGCTGTTCACGTAGGAGAGCCCAGATCTAGGGCAGCGAGTGAACAGCTCTAACCTGGCTGGGTGTGCATGCAGGATGCACTCCTTTTTCCTCATAACAGGTCATACCTAGTTAGAAAGCTCTTTCTGGCTGATTCTTCTATTTCACTAGTTGTGCCCAAGACCCTGTACTAGTTATAGATGTTTCCTGGTGGTGATGTTCATGGAATGTTGGAAGCTAAAAAGAGCTAGTTGCACTTAACTTTCTTTACATTATAAACCCTTTTTGAGAATCTGATAAAAGCTATGGACACTTTGTTAGCAAATTTTTAAATGCATATATCCATAAAGTTGTGCATTTAATTTGTGGGGCTTCATAGGTCCCTTGAAACATACCCTCACACCCTCCATTAAAACACTCTGTCTCGTCTAATCTTTTTATAGAAGGCAGGGCTGAAGTGGAAAGGCAAGGTTTCCTCATGTACAAGTTTTAGTGTTCTTTCCTCAGAATCAGCACACATCCCATTTCTTACTTCTACACCTGTGGCAGACATCACTAAGCAATCACTGCACTAGATTCAGATGTAGTCTTGCATTCTCTCCCCAAAGCACTTAGAGTGAGTGCATGAGATGAACTGCTAGCCATCTCATCTCCATGCTATGAGGAAACAGAGTTTGCAAATGCCGATACTGGAGTGTACTTACAATACTCCGACAGTCAGTGCCCTTGATGACGGGATCAGCACCTTGATAGACTCCTGGATTGAGCACATTCTGTTAATGATACTCCAGCCATCAATGACACCAGTCAGAATAATTACTAGTGGCCAAGTCCTGAATGTCTCTCCAGTTTAGCTCCTGTTAATGCTGGAACATTTACCATATACATGTAAGAAAAAGCCAGCCTGAGGCCTTCAGGGAATAAATAAGACCTGTCACAGTCTGTGTGACCAACGTCTCAGAATTGAATTCTGTACTGAGATTGTTCTGCTTATTGATGTTGAGCTGGAATGTGGAAAGTTGAACTTTCATCTGCAAGGCTCAGAGATAGAGGCTCTTTGTACTGGATTTTGGCAGGGCTGGAAGCAGGTGAAACCAGCATTTCCCTTTTGTTGGTTTAAAGGTTCAGGGATAGCAAATGACCTGCTTGCTTAGTTCTTCAGTATTCAGATGTCTCTCTTTTTTGGCTGTGTTTAAGCTCCTTTGTACTAGTCTACCATTTGTGGCTTGTATGTTTGTGAGAATTTTATTTAAGTGAATTTTTCACTTTATGTCTCAGCTGTCCAGGGTTAGGAACTATGCATTTCATTATTTCTGAAGTACCTGGTAGCCTTTTTGTGTGTGGTACCTTGTGGCCCAGTGGTGCTTTGAACTGCATGGTATATTCCAGGAGTTAGAGGTTTAGTGTAGTGACTTACACTTGGCTCCCAAATACCTGCAACTGAGAAAAGTCCAGCTGTATGGTAGAGAGCCCTGCCCAGGCAGGAAACCTTGAGTCTGGCTTCTAGTTTTAGCCTCAGCAGTTTCTTTCTCTGTGACCCTTATCCATGGCAGACAATGAAGTCATCCCTTAGCTTCCTTATTTACAAAATAAGCGGGTAATTCTTTTAATTACTTTATAGCTCTGATACTTGTTGAAATACTCTTAAATACCAGCCAGAGAGCAGAAGTGATGCCTTAAAGTATGTTCCAACAGCAGTTCTTTGACAACAGGGTATCCTTCAATTCAGTTCAATTTTGACACTACTCAGGATTAGCACAGACCCCACAGGTTGAGAAGCTCTAACCCCAAAGACTGCCCTCAGCTAAGATGCCAGCCACAAAGTCCTAGATGTTCTCTAGTCACCATCACTTCTGTCCTGCTGGCTACAAATTTAGAGCTGCCCGCCACCCCTTCAGGTGTGATACTTTGCCAGAATGACTCACAGAATTCAGGCAAACTACACTTAACTATGACAGAACAGCCAAATGGTAGAGACTCATAAGGTAAGTGGGGCAGGGGGTGGGTGTCAGGAGCTTCTGTCCCGTGGAGTCAGGGTTCCATCTTTCCAGTGTATAGTTATGTTCACCAGCCAGGAAGCTTACTGAGCCTCGTGGTCCAGAGTTTTTATCTGGGTTCTGTTATATAGGCACGGTTGATTAAATCATTGGCTATCCTATCCCTGTCCCCTCCCCCAGAGGGGGTGGAACTGAAAGTTCAAACCCTCTAGTCATGTGGTTGGTTTTCCTGATAGTCAATCCCCATCCTGAAACTACCTAACACCCCTCCCTGTACCATACCCATGAGTCAGTCACACCATTAACATAAAGTCTTGCCTGGTCTAGAGGGCCTTGTTATGAATATCAAGACATTCCTATCAGGAAATTCCAAGGTTTTAGGAGCTATGTGCCAGTAGCCGGGGACAAAGACCAATATATTTCATTATTCTACAGATTGTATATTAAAAATTTTTGTTGTTGTTATTTGTTTTTAAGAGACTAGAGTCTCGATATGTTGCCCAGGCTGGTCTTAGATTCCTGGGCTCAAGCAATCCTCCTGTCTCAGCATCCTGAGTAGCTGGGACTACAGATGCATGCCACCATGCTTGGCTGAAAAATTGTTTTCTTCCTACTCAATGAAGTTCACCTGTTTTAGAACAATGTGACAAATTTTCAGTGAGTTTCAGTTAACTATAGTTTTTTGGTCGTTTAATAGTTAGAAACACATATGTTGCCCTGTCTTAAGTGCCCTCTTCAGATAAAGTGCCTGATGCAGGAAAAAGATGGCCTATGTCTCTTGCTGAAGTGGATTTCACAGCTCAGCAGGGACACATCCATAGATATTTGTCCTTTCTTTGCTTTCTTTCACTAAAGGAGCCAGTGCATCAATCAGATGAAGGAAGTGAAGGAGCAATGTGAGGAGCGAATAGAAGAGGTCACCAAAAAGGGAAATGAAGCTGTAGTTTCCAGAGACCTGAGTGAAAAAAAAGACCCAAGTCAGCAGGTAACTTTGGGGATCTTCTGCCAGGGATTGATTTCTAGGAGGTATTCTTATCTTCTCTTCAGACATTTTATTCCTTTTATCTACTGTCTGATTTGCTCTAATCTCTGCTGTCCCTTGTGGGTTTGGTTCCCTGAGATAGAACAGAGCAAACCTGGTCCTCACTTTGCAGGCTGGCCTCCAGTCCCTGTTCCCAAGCTCAGGCCTTTATAGAAATTACTTCACTTAAAGCTCATGGCCTAGACTAGCTTATTGATGTGGGGGCAAAGAGAAAAGAGCTTATAGCCAACCTGGGAGAGCTTCACTGCCATTTGCCTCTTGAGGACACTGAGGCGCATGGAGATGGTTGTGTTCTGTGGCCGGTGTCACACCACCTGGTCAGTGGTAGAGCCCATTAAGAGCCTAGTGCAGGCATCCTCAAACTGGGGATATAGTCCCAGCTCCTGAGTAGCTGGGACTATAGGTGTGTGCCCTGACACCTGGCTAATTTTTCTATTTTTAGTAGAGACGGGGTCTCACTCTTCCTTAGGCTGTTCTCAAACTCCTGAGCTCAAGCACTCTTCTCTCCTTGGTCTCCCAGAGTGTTAGGATTCTAGGCATGAGCCACTGCGCCCAGCCCTCTTTTTTTTTTTTTTTAATTAGACTGGCTAGAGACTTATGAACTTTATCTTTTCAAAGAATAAACTTAATTTCATTGATTTTTTTTCTTTATTGGTTTCCTTTTTTTTCAATTTTATTGATTTCTGCTCTAATTCTTATTTCTTTTCTTCTACTTATTTTGGATTTAAGTTGCTAGGTTTTTTCCTAGCTTCCTAAAGTGGGAACTTAGATTATTGATTTTAGAACTGTTTTTTTTTAATATATGCATTCAATGCTATAAATTTAAGCACTGCTTTTACTTCATTTTGATAAGTTGTATTTTCATTTTCATTTAGGCCAGAATATTTTTTTAATTTCTCATGAAATTTCTACTTTGACTCATGTGTTATTTAGAAATATGTTGTTTAATCTCCACATATTTTGGGATTTTCCAGTTACTTTTTCTATTATTGATTTCTTGTTTACTTCCACTGTGATCTGAGAGTAGATACTGTATAAATTCTATTCTTTTAAATTTGTTAAGGTGTGTTTTATAGTCCATAACATGGTCCATCTTGGTGCATGTGCAATATGAGCTTAAGAAAGTGTAATCAGTTGTTGTTGGATGTAGTCGTCTATAGATGTCCATTATGTCCAGTTGATTGATGGTGCTGTTGGTTAAACGATGTCCTTACTAATTTTCTGCCTGCTAGATCTATCCATATTTGATGGTTTTGAACTTTCCAGCTGTAATAGTGGATTCATCTATTTCTGTTTGCAAGTCTATCAGTTTTTGCCTTATGTAGTTTAATGCTCTGTTGCTAGGTACATACATGTTAAGGGTGTCTTGGAAAATTGACCTGTTTATTATTTTGTAATGCCCCTCTTTATTCCTAGTAACTTCCCTTTCCATTGCTTTAAAGTCTGCTCTATTTAAAATTAATTTGCCTACTCCTTTTCATAAGTTTTAGCGTGATATATTTTCTCTATTTACTTTTATCTTTATTTAAAAATTTTTTTTCCAACCATTTACTTTTAATCTAGTGTCTTTATATGTAAAGTAGGTTTCTTGTAGACAACATATAATTAGATCTTGTGTTTTGATCTACTCTGACAATCTGTCTTTTAATAGGTGCATTTAGACCATTGACAATGTGATTATTGTCCAAAGTGATTACTGATATAGTTGGAGGAATAGCTGCCATACTTTTTATTGTTTTCTATTTCATTGTCCTGTTCTTTGTTCTTATTTTTATCTTCACTTTTTCTGCCTTTTATGGTTTTAACGGAACATTTTATATAATTCTATTTGTTTTTCCTTCCTTGGCATATCAGTTTCATTTTTAAATTTTTTTTAGTGTTTACTATAGAGTTTGCAATATACTTTTACAGCTAATTCATGCCACTTTCAGATAACACTATACCGCTTCACAGGTCATGTGAGGACTTTGTAACAAAATAATCCTTATTCCTACCTTCCTATCCCTTGTATTATTGCTGTCATTCATTTCAGTCATATATAAACCTAGATAGGTACCCAGATATACATGTGTTACATAAATAAGCATACATAATAGAATATATTGATGCCAATAGTATTTTGAACAAACTGTTATCTGTTAGATCAATTAAGAAGGAAAATAAAAGTTTTTATTTTACTTTATTCCTGTTTTGATGCTCTTCCTTTCTTTATGTACATCTGAGTTTCTGACCTATATTATTTTCCTTCTCTCTAAAGAATTTCTTTTAACATTTCTTGCAAGACAGGTCTACTGGCAACAAATCACCAATTTGTCTGAGAAAGTATTTCTCCTTCACTTTCGAAGATAATTTTGCAGTGCACAGAATTTTAGGTTGGTGGTTTTTTCTCTTAACACTTTACTCTCTCTTCTTTGCATAGTTTCTTAGAAGTCAGATGTAATTATTATCTTGTTGCTCTATAGGTTATATATATGTTTTTCCTCTGGCTTCTTTCAGGATTTTTTTTTTTTAATTTTTTTTATCAGGATTTTTTCTTTATGTTTTATTTTCTGTAGTTTTGAAATGGTATGCCTAGGTGTGAGTTTCTTAGTATTTATCCAGCTTGGTGTTCTCTAAGCTTCCTTGTTCTATGGTTTGGTGTTTGACATTAGTTTGGGGAAGTCCTTAGTCGTCATTGTTTCAAATATTTCCAAGTAACTTCTGTTACTTTCTTTTTTTTCTGATATTCTCATACCAGAGTTATCCCACAACTGTTGGTTGTTCTGTTTTTTTCAGTCTTTGTTCTTTTTGTCTTTCAGTTTTAGAGGTTTCTATTTAGATATACTCAGCCTCAGAGATTCTTTCCTCTTGTGTCTACTCTGCTAATGAGCCCATCAGAGGCATTCTTCATTTCTGTTACAGTGCTTTTTTTATCTCTAGTATTGGGGGGGGGTTCTTTTTTAGGATTTTCATCTCTCTGCTCATATTGCCCAATCATTCATTTTTTTTAAATGCCCATCCATTCTTGCATACTATCTACTTTATCCATTAGAGATCTTAGCATATTATCATAGTTATTAGAGATTTCATCTGATAATTCCAGTATGTCTGCCATGTATGGTTTTTATGCTTGTTCTGTGTCTCCAAATGGTGTTTTAGCTTTGTAGTAAATTTTTTTCTTGATAGCTGGACATGATATACTGGGTAAATGGAACTGCTGTAAATAAGCTGTTAGTAATGTGGTGGTGTGTTGTATGCAGAGGGGAAGTGTTCTATAGTTCTATGACTAGTCTTTTAATGGGCCTGTCCCTCTTGGCTGTGAACTTCACGTGTGCTTCTTGCTATCCACCTACCCCACCCCTTAGGTGGGACAGCATGGCTAGAGAATGGGATGGGAGTTGGGTATTTCTCTTTCCCACACAGAAGGGGTTGAATGTTTCCCTTCCCTCAGGTAAGTTAGGCTCTGAGTTTCTCCTGAGGGCAGGCTTTGTTAAGGAGAACAGAATGCTCTGGCCTGTTTCAAAATGGTTCCTTTTCCCTTCCCACTGCTGAAAACACAGGGGATTTTTCTCCAGTGGTATCCGTGAGAAACCCGGTCAAGCCCCTGGAGGTAAAACTCACAAAAGTGTTTTATTAGGCTTGTCCACACTAAGCCTCCAGCAGTTCCTGAATTACAGTTCAGGTTTTCCTCCCTGGACACTGATTTCCCCAGTGGTTTCTGCTTGAGTATTGTCCTGGCAGGCCATGACTCTTTGTTGTGGCTGGCTGTCTCTAGTCTTAGGGGCAGTGATTTACTCTGTGCCTTCACCTCTCTTCCGGATCCAAGAAGAGTTGATGATTTTTCCATTTGTTCTGCTTTTTACTTGTTTTTGTCAGGACTGAGTGACGACTTCTAAGCTCCTTACGTGAGGCACTAAAAACTGGAAGGAAGTCTTCTTTCTTAATATAGGCGTTTAGAGGTGTAAGTTTCCTAATAAGTACTACTTTAGCTGCCTCCCATAAGTTTCAGTATGTTTTGTTTTTGTCTCAAAGCATTTTCTAATTTGCCCTGTGATTTATTGTTTGACTCATTGGTTATTTAGGAATATGGTATTCAATTTTCAAATGTTTGTGACTTTCTCAAGATTCATGGTTTATAATTCATTCCATTGTTATTGGTTAACATACTTTGTGTGATATTAGTTATTTAAATTTATTGAGGTTTGCTTTGTGGCCTAACATATGTCTGTCCTGGAGAATATTCCATGTGTACCTGAGAAGAATGTGCATTTTGGCTCTTGTTGGGTAGAGTGTTCTATAGATGTTTGTTTAGTCTGGTTGGTTTACTGTGTTGTCCATGTCTTTTCCCCTGTTGATCTTCTGCATAGCTATTAATCCCACATTGAAGTGCTTTCTGGGAGGCCTTGACTCAATTTCACATGTTGATTTAAGCCTTGCAATAGGCATGACCAGAGCAGATCATGGTATTTCTCAGGGTTTTTGTTGTTGTTGTTCTTATTTGTGGGGAAGATGTGGTGGTGCTTTTGCATTGTGTGAGGTTCTTGTAAGGTTTTTGGTCACCTCGGAGCCCTGCCATCTCCTATGCTCTTGTTTCAGCTCCAAACTCTCAGCAAGCCTCAGCCCAGGCTGCAGGGAGCAGGCCTGCTACAGGCAGAGGTGCCACAAAGGGAAGGAAACACACCCAGTGATGGTGAGTCCCAGATGCCAACCCCCAGTTCTAAGGTGGCTTTGGAATTGAAGAGTCGAGGTAAGAAAGGTGAGTGGAAAGTTACATTTTTACCTCCTCCAGTCTTGTTCAATTTGGAAAAGTAGCAGCACTCCTGTGTTCCAGTCCATACAGAGACTCCAGGGGCAGAGCATGTGGCTTGAGACAGTAGGTGAACTTAGCAGTTGGGCTGCCAGGAGGCAGGGCAGTCCCTCTCTGGGCACCTGGAATTGGGGCTACAGGGCTTCTCCTGTCTTTCTGATGTCTTTTACTTGTAAACTAAGTGCCTTGTTTTTGGCAGCTGTGAGAGAAAGGTCCAGGCTGCACCTTTCTTTATTCAGGACATCAGTGGGATTATTGGAGTTAAGGGGAGGTGCCTGAGCCCCAGGCAGCTGTCACTGGGAACCAAGGGGGCTATAATGTCTGTATGTGACTCCTGGGTCAACTGGCATGCCCTGGCTGCCAAGTATCTGTCTCAGATGGACATAATGATCAGATAACTCAGCAGTACACCCTTCTCTACTTGGAGTTGTTGAGATAATTTAGTCCAGTTTTTTTCTAACGTGCTTTTTGCTTCCTTGTGGTTCTGAAGGTGAGCTGCAGGCATAGAGAGGCCTGCAGTCTGCTGCTGAGGCTACAAAATAAGTTACCCACCTGCTCTCCTGCATGCAGCCCATCCCATCCCTACTCCTTGGAAAAGCTCTGGGAATTGAGTGGCATGAGGTTTTTGTTTTGTTGTTTGTTTTAATTAAATGCTGGTGAGGTCACAGGTAACTCTGTTCTGTGCACAGAGGAAACTAATGAGATCCAGTTTGTCAGCGAGAAGGAGCCTCAGAGGGACAGCCTGGGGCTGCCACAGGAGCCAGGCCAGGAGCAGGCTGTGGAGGACAGACCTGTGGGCGGAAGAGACTTGGGGAGAGCCAGAGAACTAAGCCGAACCCCACAAGTACCAGCTGCCCTGTTGCTGAGCCAGGAAAATCAGGAGACTGAAGACCCTGAGCGGGACCAGCTTGTCATTCCCGATGGGCAGGAGGAGGAGCAGGATGCTGCTGAGGAAGGTGGGTTAGAGGCCCCATGGTTGCCCACACATGCTTTTCTACTGGACACTCAGTCCTCTCGATCTTCCTAACACGAGACAGATCTCCTTGAATTTTACCAACAGCACTTCGTGATTTGGTAGTTCCTTTTTGTCTCTATGTTTGTTATCCATTATCAAGTGAGAGTCAGGAAGGAAAAGCAGCATACACTCCAGTGCTTGAGGTTTCAGAAACAATATTAATAGGAAGTGAAGGTAGATGACCTGGAGTGAGCATCAGCTCCTAGCATGCAGTCCACATGCCTGGTCTTTGTATCTCCACTTCCTCATGCAGTGTTTGGTGCAGCAGACATAGCTAGTCAGTGCCTGGTTAATGAAAAATTGGAGGACGGAAGGAATGAATGATTGAGTAAATGGAGGTTAATACATATTTGAGCATTGAGGAAAAGTGACATGTGACTCCCACCTTTCTGGTTTGGTTTACCATTTTCTTTTTAAAGAAATAAAGTGTGGGAATATTCTGAGATCAACAGAATATTCTGAGATATATTTCAGTCCCTTAAAGATATAGAAAATTTCCATCCTGAGTCAGGAGCACTTCTGAAGACAGGACAGCTGAGATCTGGGGAAGACCAAGTAACAGAAGTTGGAAAATATGCTTATTTGCAGAAGTTACCCTGATTCCATTCTAATTTTCGCTTTGGTTTCTCGTTCTGAAGAATGTGTCCTCCCAAGTTCCAGTTAAAGAATTGCATTTTGTCAGCCTCCCTGACAGCATTCCTGCTTGGGTCTCTTCTCCATGCCTGCCCAGCACGATACTCATGGTGTGAGGGCGGGAGAGCACACTTGGGCAGCTCAGCCAGTGGGGCTCAAGTGTCAGACCACTCAGCAGCTGGTCGCAAAGTGCAACAGCTAACGGTGGACCTTTGATACTGCAGGCCCTACATCAGGCGTCCTCAAACTACGGCCCATGGGCCATATGCAGGCCGCCTAGCACATTTATCCGGCCCTCTGGGTGTTTTTGCTGCCTGTCCTGCTTAGCAGCCGACTCGTCCCAGGCCCACAGTGCACACTCTCCAACGGTCTGAGGGACAGTGAACTGGCCCCCTGTTTAAAAAGTTTGAGGGCCCCTGCCCTACATGATATATCTGGTTCTAGATGCAGTTGTAGTGATCTCATTTGAAGAATAAATCTGTTGGGCATGCAGGCTTGTGCTTTGTTTCCACCACAGGCAGTGAGTGCAGAGAAATAGAATAGAACTAGAGCTGGTTTTCCCCGGCATGCTTTTCAAAAAACAAAAATGATTTTGTTTACCTATCTGTATACAAATATAGAATGTTTAGGTTAAACCCTTTGAATAGTTCTCTATGCAGTATGTCCTGATCTTTTCTGGTTGCTGTTCTCTCTAGAGATGAATGTAGTAATCAACATTGTAATTCTGTAAGTATGGTGGGCAGTTTTACCCTTGGGCATACAATAACGACTCCATTTCTTCTCTCAGAGCGATGAGCTGTTCAAAGGAGATGCTATCATTAATTAGAAATCTTTCGTTTCCTGGAACAGTGGTACCTTTAACCTTGAGATGATTGACTCTTTAAAAAACTGGGATTTTAGTTTAGCTAGTTAGTTTCTCCATTTCCAGCCTAGAATATAGCCTTTTATAGTAGAAGCAAGCACATGAGTCCCTCTCATTTCCAGAGAGGTAGCAAAAAGACCTGACTAGGATGAGCAGGATAAACCCCAGACCCGGGCTCTGGTGTTCCTCTGGCATCAAGAGAGAAATGATGTAGCTTATATTTTATGGGCTAATTTTACAGGGAGAAACGAGCAAAAACTGGGAGGAGATGATGACTACAACATGGATGAAAATGAGGCGGAATCTGAAACAGACAAACAGGCAGCCCTTGCAGGGAATGACAAAAACCTAAATGGTAATAACAGTGGTGATGGTGGTAGCGGGAGAGGGTGAGGGGAGTGGGTTCCCTTCCATTTTCTCTTTCTAGTCCTCCACTTTGTCCTATGAATCCCAGCAATAAGATTTTAAGTAATTGATCATTTCAAGGAGGCTATCTTTTTCTTCAGGAGCCTTTGAAAGTAAGGGCAGTGAAGCAAGGTGAGGGTTGCACACCCCAAGGTGATGATGACCTTTCAGAAAGTCTGCATATTCACTGGGGCTCAAGCCTTAAGGTATCCATTGGAAGATTTGTTTTCAGTGCCACTGCCCCACAAAATGGCTAGGTCACCACTTGATCGGTCTGCATCACAAATGAAAAAACTCTAATATATGCACAGAGCTTCCAAGCAGCTTTTATAGCTTCCAAGCAGTTTTTATAGCTGTACTTTATTATTATCTTGAATTTTTAAAGAGTCCAGGCCAGTGTCTTATCAAATTTTAGATATGTCTGTTTCCTTATGATGGATTCAGGTTGAACATTTTTGTAAGCGACAGTTTTGTTCCTTTTGCTTTTCTACCAGGAGGCATAAAATGGCAGCTTTTCTTACTGGTGGTATTGATGCCTTGGCTAAAGTGGCACCTACCAGGTCTCTCTATGGTAAAGGTCCATTTTCTCTTTGTAATTAATGTCATCTTGAAGAGGATGCTTTGAAATGGTGTGGTTTTACCATTCATTGATGAACTGCCTAAATGGTGACATTTTAAATTCTGTTGTCTCTACACATTTATTACCTGACATTCTTTAAGGAACTTCCTTTCCCAACCCCAACACACTTGTTTGTCTTAGTATCACTATGGACTCATGGTGTCCTTTTTTAAAATTCATTTTTCTATCGGATTCTTGGTATTTTCCTTCTTAATTTGTAAGAGCTCTTTATATGTTAGGGAGATTGCCCTTTATATGTAGTGTTAAGTTGTAGATACTTTCTCTCAATTTCTCTTGGTTTTGCTTTTGGTGTGTTTGCCATGCAAAAGTTTCAAACATTTTTATCTTTCATTGCTTTTGCATGTGAGTCATAGTTAGAAAGGCTTGCCTATTCAGTGTTGGAAAGAATTCACCCTTGTTTTCATTTGGTATGTTTACATCCAGAATGCTTTCCAGTTTTTCTTGTAGTTGCTATTACAAAGTAAAACACAGATTCAGAAAACCACATCAAACAAATGAGATTTCGAAGGTGAACACCTTGTAACTGTCTCCCCAGTCAAGAAACAGAACTTGGCCAGTCCCTCCAGAGACCCCTGCATGTCCCCTGTCCCAGCATTGTCTCTAATAGTATCAGCTCTCCTCACCTTTACAGTTAAGCATTTTCTTGAATTTATGGGCTTATCACCCAAGTGGGCATCCCCAGACACCATAGTATATGGTCCTGCTCATTTTCTTAAATTCGATGTGTCTTTAAGTCTTTCTTAATCTAGGTTTCCCCTCCATTCCTTTCTTTCCTTTATAATTTGTTAAAAACCTAAGCCATGCAACCTGTGGTTTCCCAATGTCTGAATATTGCTGATTATATATGCATGGGCCAGTTTCACATGTTCTATTCTATTTTCTGCAGATTGGCAGCTGGATCCATAGGCTTGGTCAGACTCAGCTTCAGGCTCAAGCCCTTGGTCAGATGATAGGTAGTGATGTGTTCTTTCATCAGTAGGCACCTAATGTGTGATGTCTTTCTTTTTGTGATGTTGCTCAGTACTTGATGCTCAGTACCTATGTTAATTCATTTCTGTTTCATTTGTTAATTGGAATATTCTTTTATAGACATTTTAGTGGTATTGCTCATATAGGATAAGCAGGATAAATGCTTGATTCTATTTACCAGTTTTCAGAATAAATGAATTATATCCCCATCCCCTGAAGGTGACCTCTTTTTTATATTAATATCATTATAACTAAAATGATATAAACATATTCGATCGGTTTCACTCAATTGCATTTATTATCCCTTTGTGAGGTTCAGATTGTTTTATCTTCTTTGGCTGGTAGGACCTCCCCTACTTTTATCTGAGACTTCAGTTTCCTTTTTTTCTCTTGTTAATGTCCTGCAATCTTCCCTCCACATTTAGCACTTTTTCTCTGCCTGGGAAGGAACCCCAGAAAGGAGCCCTGGCCTATCAGTTTCAGGAGTCCACAGGCTTAGCCTCTGCCAGTCCCTTTAACCTGTGCCATGGCTGCCTTGTGGTTACCTTCTATGAGAGCAGCAGGACCCCTCCCACTCCCAGGGGCAGTTCTCCTGGCCCATGAACTTGCTGGTGTATACCTGTTGGCTGTTTGGACTTCTATTCTCAGGTCCATCACATGCTCCATTGCTTCCCTGATTTTTTTTTTTTTTTTCCAGATGCTGCTAACACATGGGTTGTTGTCCATAGTTTGCCTTTAACTGCTTGAATTTTAGGGTCTATAGGATTCCTTCTCATCTAATTTTGTTGTAAATGTCCATGATTTTTGAGTTTTTTAATTCAATTGCTTTATGTAGGAATCCTGAAATATTTAAAAACTATTCCACTTATTACCATCTTTCCAGGATTATCCTCTGCTTTCATATTTTATATTAAGATCCAATTCATTTGAATGTTGGTATGGCATGAGGGTATGGGTCCATTTAATCTCTTTCAAAAGAGCTATTCCAATTGGCCCAACACCATTTCAAATCACCATTTGCAATGCCACCTTTACCAAATACTAAATTTCCATATGTATTTGGGTCTACTTTTGGACTTTCTGTTTCTCTTCCATTAGTTGCTCTGTGGATTCACACTGTACCATACTATTCTAAGTATAACATAACAGCTTTCTTTAATAGCTGGTAAAGATATTCTCTCTGGAAAATCTCAGACATTTCTTTGCATAATGCTTCTTTCCTTTTTGATTCCTTCTCAGACTCAGATTTAAAGTGTTAGATTTCATTCTATTCATGTCTCTTACCTTCTTTTTTCATATTTTCCATTTCTGCCTATCTGGGCTGCATTCAGAATATTTCCTCAGAAATACCTTCCAGTTCACAAAGTTTTCTTCAGCTATACCTTATCTGCTCTTTAACTGGTAAGTTTTTTAGTTATTTTTTTCTGCAGGTGCTCATTCATGGTAACTTGCTTGCTTGTGTGTTTTGTGCTTTTTAACTGTGAGCTACTAGTTTTCTTGGGACTTTTTCTGTGGTCTTTAAGGGTTGAGTTAGTTACATTTCACTGAATGTGGTGGCCCTACCAGTTGAAATGAGGGCACTACAGACTCACAGCCTCCTTAAAGTAAATTCTCTAAGTTTTTTGGATCATATAGGAAATGTGAATTCAAATTATAAACCTTCAGACATCTTGTGGTTAGTCCTCATGTGGTTAAGATGCCCCCCCATTTCACACACAGGGCTTTCTTTGCTGTCCCATTTTCAGGTTAGCTTTTTTCCCATTATCTTTCAACCAGGGATACGAGCCTTTGTGTGTCTGTGTGTGTGTGTGTGTGTGTGTGTGTAGGGTCTCCTACTTGACACCCCACCTTGAGTATAGCCCAAGTTGTTAGTTTCTGTACCCCTGCACCTTTTGAAGCTATGAAGGGAGAAGCCTAGTATCTTCAGGCCTCAGTGTCAGGGCCAATGCTGGCTTTGATGCTTACCTTCCCTTCATTTTTGGCCTTGCAGATGCCTTCTTTTTTTACCATATGGGCAATGCATTATTTTTAATGTTTTAGTATTTAAAAAAATTTTTTTAAGTTTTCATTTTGAAATGATTTAGATTTTAAAGTACAGTAAACAAGAATTTCTGTATACTCTTCATCAGGGTTTCCCCAAATGTTAACATCTTATATAACCACAGTACAATTACCAAAATAAGGAAATTAATGTTGATATAATGCTATTATCTAATCCATAGACTTTATTCAAATTTAATGAATGTCCAACTAATCTTTTTTCTCATCCAAGATTTAATCCAGGATCACACACACTGCATTTATTGTCATACCTCTTTAGTGTCCCTTAATCTGGAGCTGTTTCTGTCTTTATCATTCATTTCGTCCATTTTTTTTTTTTGAAGTACAATGGCCCAGTTGTTTTGTAGACAGTCCTTTAATTTGTGTTTGTCCGATCCAGCAATGCATTCTTAAACATTGTCTTTTGTATTTATCCGGGATGTCAGTTGTTTCAGTTGGCACAGTTGTTTGGAGTTTCTAGAAATGTAAGTCCTAACTTGATTTTTAAGTTATTTTTCAAGGACTTTGAGGTAATTTTTTTTAAAAGGCAAAAAACTAACACATTAGCAGTAAGAATAAGTAAATATAGAGTCTCTCCATCTTTCTATTCTTGGTGTCATTTACGCCACTCATTTGTGTACTTTAGTTCTTCAAGAGCATGTTTCATGGTCTGGTCACATCTGTTTTAACAACCTTTTAAATGGGCCTAGTGTCTTACAAAATGCATAGCTTTGCAGTGAAGCCTTGTGATCTTGCATCCCCTACACTCAGGTGTCCTAAGGACTTGACCTTGTGCAAGATATTAAAGTGAGGTAGGCAAGGCAAGGAAAATAAATGCCCTGTCAGCTCTTCTAAGAAAGTGTTAAGTTCAAGAAATGTCAACATCAGCTTCAACAGTATTTTAAGATTATGTCTTTGAAATAGTTTAAGACCCTGGTTGCTGTAGGGAAATTAGAAGAAAAAGGCAATAGTTCGAACTTAGAGACTTTAAAGGACACTACTAATTTAATATGGCAATCATTTAATTGTCATTAAATGTCCGTTGTGTGTCAAAGGATAGGGTAAGACCAGATGGTGGAGGCCACGTACTTTAGCTCTGTCAAGGGGGGAGCTTTGGAGTAGCAGGAGCTGTCTGAAGCCACAGATGGCTCTTTAGGAGGCTGCGTGTGCTGCTGGAAAGGTGCAGTAGTGAGGGAGTCATGTCACACAAGAGGGCTGTGATTATACTAAAACTTCATGAAAGTACATTTTATTTTGTCCATTTTGTAGGACATGGGGCATTATTTTATTGTTTTAAACAATTATGGAATCTAGGTATTTTAACTTTGTTACATGGAACACTGTTCGCCATACATATATGGACTCTTTTGCCATCTTGCCCTTGATTAGGAATGCAATTCCAAATTATAGTGTTGGTATGGGAGATATAGTCCTCTTTATGACACACTTTCTAGAAACTTATGCATAATGGGACCTGTCTGGGCTACTTTCTCAAGATGTTAAAATATTAGAATGTTATGTGTGAGTTTTTCCTTTTTAGTTTTTATTGCTGAAGATCAGAAAAGAGACGCCATAAATTTATTTGATCAGCGTGAAAAGCGGAATCATACACTCTGAATTGAGCTGGAATTCACATATTTTACTTCAGGACCGAAGACAACCCTACAAAATATTCATGAGGGATTGGATACTCAAAGCTGTGAAATGTACTAAGTAAAATGTACATCTAAAGATGATTATTGTGGAAATGAGGACATACTTTATGTAGGAAAAATTGGACTTTAAGATGGTTTGGGGGGGTACTTTTGAACTATCTAATAAAATTTGTCAAAATTTCTGGCTAATAGGTATTTCATGAGAAGATCAACACCAAAAATAGAACACAAGTTCTCTTTCAAGTGTGGCAGCAGTGGTACTCCTTTATTCTGGACTGTAACTATGTAAAAAAAAAAAAAAAAACCAACCTGTAGAGAAGAGTCTGTCTGCTGATGTAAAGGAGACTGAATTTACAGAGAACTCCTTTTTTCCCCGCTCTGGTGTCCTCTTCTCTGAACAGAACATGCTGGGCTAATTTCTGTTCTCACTGGTATACACAGGGAATGATTGGCTTATGCTCTTGTGCAGTCACTTCCTATTCTGACAATCAATGGCCTAGAGCACTGACTGTTAACACAAACATCACTAGCAACAGTTTCAAACAAGTCTAAATACAAGCTGTTTTATGTGGGAATTTTTAAAAAGACTACTTGTATAATAACCTCTACCATTTTTAATGTACAAAACACTATTAAGTGTCTTGTAACTTGAACATTTGTGGTCTATACTTACTTTGCTTCATATGTATGGGCAAAGCAAAATCTTCTCTAATAAGTACATACTACCAAAAAAAAGCAATGACTGGATTATACATTTCACAAAAAGGGCCCAAACAGAGCTTCACAAGGGCATACCTGTAGCAGAGCACAGTGAGGACAGGTTTGTGTGGACAGATCTGTGCCTACTTTATTACTACAGTAAAAGAAAAACAAGTTAATTGATGTTGAAGGATATATACAGTGTTATAAATTGGGAATGTTTGGAAAGAGAAATGCAATAGTTATTTTTGTCATAGTTTACACATTTTGCGACTCACAAAACTGATTTAAAAATCAAAGGTTAACATTAATTTTGAAAATGACTAATCGTAGTTCCCAATGATAACAATAACTTTAGGTTTGACTTGAGTTGTTGGTTCCTGATATTTGTAGTAAAAAAGGTTCTTACCCACTAAAGAATGACTGGCAAAATCACGTTAATGACTTACTTTCAGTGAGGCTCTCTACAGGGTAAGTGGGGAATCCACAGGATTTGGGATACAGGAGCCTCAGAGATCACTGTGTGTAACTCTCTCATTTTCAGAGAGGAAAACCCACTTAGCCTTAAGAGATAAGCCAGAGTAAGAGTCCTGATATAACTTTGCCTTTTCACTAATTTGTCTCTTTCAACGCAATAGGGAAATGACAGTAATGGAACCTCCAGGGTAATTAATGTATCATGTCTACCTTTATCCAGCACTAAAGCTGCTGCATTATCAACATGTAACATCTGTATCATTTTAAAAAGTAGTTCTGTGAGCTCAACCAACAGTATACAACTGTTTTTCCTATAAAGAACAATCTTGGTTTATCAGTATCCTTGCTCTGGTTTTTTGAGAAGAGATCATTTAAAAGTTATTCTAGAAGTCAACAGGTGACATGTCTGTGACCAAAACAGAGCACCACACTTTCCTTTAAGCTTGGCTTAATGTTTGAATTTTAAACAGAAGTTGCAGGTATTGCATCTTTATTGTTGTAGAAGTTTAGAAATTCAGAGAGCTGTTAGATAATAACTTTACAATTCTCCAAAATCTGATATATTTTCTTAAATGGAAGGCAATATCAGTAATAGACTACAGTACTGGGTCCCCAACCTTTTTGGCCCCAGGGAGCAGTTTCATGGAAGACTGTTGGGGGTGGTTGTTTCGGGATGATTCAAGTACATTTACTGTGCACTTTTATTTCTATTATTACATTGCAATATATAATGAAATAATTATACAACTCACCATAATGCCGGATGTAATGATGCTCTGATGTGACAGGAGGCAGAGCTCAGGCGGTGATGTGCCGATGGGGAGCCGACTATAAATATAGATAAAGCTTCTCTGACTCACCCACTGCTCACCTCCTGTTGTATGGCCGGGTTTCTACCAGGCCACAAATGGGTGGGCAGCCCAGGGGTTGGGGACCACAGGACTCCAGAAAAAACTTAATAGTTGTAAATATGAGTGCTTGGGTGGTCTGGTTTAATATTTCAGAAAAGTCATTTCATTTCTTCAAAAGCAAAAATTTTTTAACACCTTTGATGGATGTTGGATAATGATAATGTTCAGTTTTATTTCCCTAGTTCCCTATTCTCCTTAGATATGGAAGCATTTGATATACCAACTTATTTAATTAATATTGCAAATATCAGACAAATCAATTTCTACCACATTCCCACTTGCCACCTCAAAGTTCCTCTGTACCCTCAGCCATGCTGTGTTCTCACCATGTAGTCTCTCCTGTTAGGGGCCTTGTTTAACGTCATCTATTCAGTTTTCTACTAGGATGACTCTTAGCTATTAGAATGTCTTTTTACATCTTAAAAAAATCCACACTGTGTTAATTAAATGAGTAGGTATTACTGAGTTGACTCCATACTGTCAGGTACTAAGAAAGTGAAGTCCCTTTTCCCATGTTTATACTACAGTTGGGAAGATAAAAACAATGAACTGCAGTCATGTGCCACGTAACAACCTTTCACTCAACGATGGACCACACATAAGATGGTGGGTCCTGTAAGATTATAATGAAGCTGGAAAAAAACACGTTACATGTTTATGATGATGCTGGTGTGAACAAACCTGTCTACTATTTTAAAATTACAAAAAAAAAAAAAATTCAGATTGATATAAAGCAAATATTTTGTACAGCTTTCCAATATTTTTTTAAGCTAAATGGTATTACAAGAGTCAAAAAGTAAAAAAAAATTAAAAAGTTTAAAAACTATTTAGCTAAGGTTAATGTATGATTGAACATTTTTTAATTTTATGTAACAAGTGTGTAGTGCTTATAAAATTTACAGTAGTGTGCAGTAATGTCTTCAGCCTTCATATTTACTCATCACTCCTAGTCACTCACTCAGCAACTTCTAGTCCATTCATAGTAACTGCCCTAAATAGATGTACCATTTTTTTTTATCTTTTATAACACATTTTTACTGTACATTTCTATATTTTGACACACAAATACTATTATGTTACAGCTGCCTATAGTATTCAGTAGTCACACACTGTACAGGTTTGTAGCCTAGTAAGCAGTAGGCTATACCATACAGCTTAGGTATATAAAGGCATTACCATCTAGGTTTGTGTAAGGACACACCGTAATGTTCACACTGTGAGGAAATTGCCCAAGGATACACTTCTCAGCCTTTCTCAGTCCATCGTTAAGGCATACTTGACTGTATTTAAATTAAAACTGTGCTGATTAAGGTGGCATGGCATAAACCAGGAGGAGGACGACTCCTCCCTGGGGACATGTCATTTCAGCTGAAACTTGAAAGATGAGGAGAAACTGGCCAGGAGATGAGACTTGAGAGTCTGAGGGAGGCAATGTGGCTGCAGCCTGAGGGGCCAAAGGAAGAGGGCAGAAATGAAGTAGGAGAGGCAGAAGTGGCCAAACTGGGCATTCCTGGGTAAAGATCAGGTCATTAACAGGAGAACAGTGGACTTTAAGTAGAGTTGTAGGTGATCAAGCTTGGATTTTATGATCTTGTAAGATCATAGCAGCTCCTCCAAGAATAGAGTGGGGCAAGTGTAAGTGTGGGGAAGTAAATTCTTCAAGCCCAGTTGACTTTCCAGCTTTTGCCCCAACTCTTGAAGAAAGCGGTCTTCCTGTTGTCACCAGCAACCTTTTTCTTGCCCAATCCAATGGGCCCATTTTGGTCCTTCTATTATTGGCCTTTTAGCTGCATGTGGCACTCCTTTCTGCTTATTTTCCTGATATGTCTCTTGGAGGGTCTGTGTTTTGTGTTTCCAGTGCCCAGAAGCATAGTCAGAAAA